TCTTGCCTGCCACCGAGGGAATGACTGCTCAGCATGTTGGATGGAAATGAGTCCACACCTGTGCATTCACCGTACGTAATCAACTTCCACACCAGAAACATGTCTCCACTGCAACTACACGAGCAATGACCTCATTCCCCGGGCCACATTCCCCAGACTACATACATGGGACATTCCTACACACCACTAAGTCAGGGATACATCTAGCCCTGGCAGAACAAGAATCATGGACCAGTAAAGCTTTTATGACAGGGCTCTGCCATACTTTTAAAGATATCGGGTAGGATAGAGAGCTCAAGTAGCTGAAGTGCAAGTGCCCAAACAGAGGAATATACATTGCTGTAGGAGAGGACAGAGACAGGAAGAAGGATCAGAACAGCTCCCGGAAGAAGGCGGCACTTGGTGAGAACATGGATGATTCTGACAAGCAGAGACTGCAAGACAGGGTGTTCTGGACAGAGAACAAAGCATGTAAAGATGCCGGCGTGAAAGCACACAGTCATTTGAGAAGGGGGGTATATTTCAGTGTTGCCGGAAAACAGGTGGCTTAAAAGATAAGGTAGGAAAGGTGAGGGACAGAACCAAGAGAGCCTGGACAAGCAGCCTAAGGGATGTGGAAGTTATTTGGAAAGCCCCCACTTTTGAGTAGAAAAATGATTCGGAACCATGTTGCAGAAAGCAAACTCTGACAGCTGGAGGGAAGACTGGAAACAGGAGAAGCCGGAGGCCTCCAGGTCAGCCGGGAGGGGGCGCCACCGTGTGAGGGAGGAAGGAGAGAGGGGGCTCTGAGGTCAGCGCCAGGGGGAATGGAGGGACGGAGGGCAGACACCAGGAAGGAGGTCAGGAGCACCGCAGACTCACCAGACCTGGAGACTCGAGTAAGGAGACACCGATGTCGAATACGAGATGGGCAGCCTCCCAGGAGGAATGAGGAGGACGACGAGTTCTCTCCACACACACTCAAGCAGGGAGAGATGACGGCGGGGAATGGCCGTTTTCCATCATAAACCTGGTTGTATACTACGTGTCTTTTTAGTCAGTTTGATCAAAGAAAAATCAGTTTAAAGGAAAAAGGAAGTCACCGTTCAGAGCAGGAGAGGAAAAGGGAAATATTATCCTAAATTGGATGTTCATGGTACGGCATCTAACGTTGGAATGAATTACTCTGATTCTTCAAGGACTATGTTCTCATGTTACAATCCAAGAAAAAGATACATTTTGGAATTCCTGCCTACCACTAAGTTAGGGATACAATCTAACCCTGGCAGAACAAAAATCATAGACCAGCAAAACATTTTGTGACAGGGAAATGAACTACTAATATAGGCAATAACAGGGATGAAGATCAGAATAATTATGCGGAGTAAAACAAGTCAGACAAAAAGACATCCCATACTGCATCATTCTATTTTGATAAAACTCTAGGAACTGCAAACTCCTGTAGGTGACAGGAAGCAGAGAGATGGCTGAGGAAGGGCAGGGATGTCTTAGGGAGGCACGGGAAAACTTGTGAGATGACCTTGCTCATGATCTTGACGATGTACACAAGTCAATACTTATCACACTGCACACTTTAAATATGTGTATATCAGTCATACTTCAATAAAGCTGTTAAAAAAAATCCCAGAAAAAAACGTAAAGGATATGCTTCCCTTCTTTCCAGTCAGTCCTCTTGTTTTAGGCATCAGTTCCTTAGCTCTTTACAGCTAATATCTCACACAAAATTATTCTTTTCCTCTTCATCAGCCAAAGTTTTAAAACAAACATAACAACAAGAAATTTACTTTGAAAACTTAAAAATCTAAGTCATAAAATTGACAACTTCTGGCCAGCATGAACGAACCAACATTGCCAACACGAACTAACAACGGACTGGATAATTTCAGACCAAAGCAAAGAAACTCAGTACTACAGCAAGTCAATGTACGATTTCTGCTATACTAAAACTAGTCAAGGGCTTTCTCAGCCCAACCCACCCACCAGTATTATCCCTGAAGCCCCTAGGGCACATGACCATGCACCAGTTAAGACGGACAGCACCAGTCTAAAACTTTCTTATTCTTTAACAAACCTAAAAGAAACTCATGAAAAGAACTCCACCAGAAAGTGCCCCAAGCTAATTTTTCCTCAGAAATGATAAACTTGTAGATTCTGCATTGGAATCACATGCAGTTCAGTTACAAAGCAGGTATGAAACAGATAATTAACTAACTAGAACCTATAAGTTCAGGGTACTTTACATGAATCAATTTGTAGTGTAATTTTCTTAGTAAGTTTCATGAAAATCAGGGCTGTCCAACCTTCTGGCTTCTCTGGGCTGCATTGAGTAACCTTTAGGCTTCCTCGGGCTGCATTGAGTAAAGAGGAATTGTCTTGGGCCACACATAAATTACATAACAGTGTATACATGATAAGACTTCTTTTTAATATATTTTTTATCAGAAAGTTTAGAAAAGTGAGGACAATATAAAACTAGTGGGAAATTTGACTTTGTTTTTGTAAAACGAATTCATCCACGTCTGGTTCAATGGAAATGGTTCCAGTTGTTTGTGAGTTCTTAAGGTGACCATCGGAAATGTTTGTTTGAATTCTGCTCTCCATGTGTTTCATAATTGAAAACAGCTACTCACAAATGTATGTGCTGCCAAAAAGAAATGTCACAAATAAGGCATGACTGTGAACTCCAAATATAGATCTATGCACAGGGTCATAAAGAAAATAAAAGCTAAGAAACACATGATGTTAAAAGATTTTGTGGGGCCACATTACGAGGTACCCTGGGCCACATGCAGTTTATGGGCCATGGGTTGGACATGTGTAATGTTGACCACGCAATACAAGAGGCAGTACACATCTCTTTGCTGTGATGAGAAAGACGAAGGTTTGCATCCCTATGCCTTTGATCCAACAGTGGATCTGTCCAAGCTGGGAAGGCCACCACTTGCATGGGTGACTGCAGATTATGGAGGCAAACACCTAATATCCTGAGGGAGGAACAGAGCACAAGACTTCCCAGTCAGGTCAGCAAATCAACCCTATGGCTTACAAACCAAGAAGGGGCAGCCACAACATTTTAATTTTTGTAGGACTTGAAATACAGACCAGAACATTTTACAACAGGGATTTACCATATTTTTAGTAGTAAGAGGATAATAACACCTGGACATCTGGAGTGATTAGTGAGTGGCTGATGTAGAAAGCTCCATGGCCATTTTTTAAAAAACTAAAATATAATAAATATGTCTGTGTATTCTGGATCATGAAATAAGTTTGAAGCAGCAAGCTCCTCAGATTGCTCATTCCTAGGAAATAGAGTTAGCGCACTCACTTCTATCGCACCACAATCAGAATGCCCCATTAGAAATCAAGTGTCCTGAACTCCTACACTGACAACCCTCAGCTGTGTGACCACGGGCAAATTATAGAGCTTCTCTGGGCTAAAAGTGTGTGGCTCTGAAGTGTAGACAAGCCAAGGGTTGGAGTTTTACAGTCTTTGGCTTCCCATACTAAGGTTCCATGAAATCCATATTTCTTTCCTTCCAGCAGCCTTGTTTAGTAACTATGAATTTTTAAATCATTTTTAAATGACCACAACAAAAGATTACAGAAAATATTTGATATTCTTAAATTTGTTCAAATCTTCAAGAACACAAGTTGTCCTTATTAGGCCTCTAGAATGTATTAAGCGAGCTTCTCCCTGACACTTTGAAAGTCAATGGTAAAAATGTTTAACACATGATAAGTGACTATAATTGTCAAGCAACCGTTATTCCTAAAGGCACATAAATTATTTGTAACTGTACACATAAAATGTCATCCCACAATTAACTATATATGGCAGTCCGTTACTGGGTTGCTCGCTGCTTTGGCACCTAAACCTTTTCACCGTTAGTCATTCATTTCAAGCTACCACTGACTGGCTTTTCCAAAGAGTTCTTAATCCATAGCAGTAAGGGACAGATTCCTTCAAAACTGAAGTAGCATTGGATCCTGCGAGTCAAAATAAATGCTTCACGGTAATATGAAGAATAAGAAAGTGGAAATAATACCTAGATAGCTGTATTTTTAAAATTTAATCGTGACCCAAAATAGAAGACAAAAGCATGGGGATGCAAAGAAAAACACAGCAGAAATATCCAGAAATGCTGTCAGGTGGTCCTTGACAGTGAGATTATGGGTGGACAGTTTGTTATACAGCTATCACAAATGTATGTGCTGCCAAAAATAAATGTCACAAATAAGGCATGACTGTGAACTCCAAATATAGATCTATGCACAGGGTCATACAGAAAATAAAAGCTAAGAAACACATGATGTCAAAAGATTTTGTGGGGCCACATTACGAGGTATCCTGGGCCGCATGCAGTATCTTGTATCCTGGGGCCGCATAACTATTCATTTCCATAACAGGGAAGGGGGAAAAAACCTACACAACTTAAAGAGCAGTCTTATAAAAATGTGGACGGTGTCTCTCCACTTTAAACACGAATCAGGCTAAGTCGCAAAGATCACGACCCCGGAGAAGCGAGAAAACACCGCGACGGGAACAAACGGGTGTGTGGCCACCGACCCCTGTCTCCTCACACGGCAGAGAGCGCCCCTCCCCGGAAGAGGGACCCCTCCTCGCCTAAAAAACCCACAGGAGCGAAGAATGGCATCGGCATTGCTCGCGACACCACCCGCCTGAACCTGGTGCGCGCAAACCCACTTATTTTTTTTTCCGGGTCGATGTTATTTATTTATTTTGCCCCACCAGCCCCACCTGTGCACGCGGCGCCCGAGAGGCCCCTCCACCCCTTCCCCTCCCCCGGTCCCAGCGTCCATGCCACCCCCACCCCGGCCTTTGCAGACCTCAGTCGGGCCCCCGCTCGTGACAACACGCGCAACCCCCTCGTCACGGAGCCTTACACGCCCCATGCCGGCCGCGCCCACGCCGAGCAGCCCGCAGCCCACGTGCGTCTCCTCGGGGCGGGCCCCCAGTCCCTCTTCGAGACCCTTACTCAGAATCGCCGCCCGCCGAGGAACACGAGCCCGAGGCGCTGTACCGCTCTTCAGACTCGCAGTCCTCGTCTTCTTCTACCGAGGAGGGGTCTCCAGGGAGGTCGTCTGGGCTGGGACGCGAAGCGCACGAAGCCGCAGACGCCATCGCCGAGGCGCCACAGCTCCCAGGGCTCACAGTCCGCCGCAACCGCCGGCCGGGGCCGCCATGTTGGCCCCGCTCAGGACGCGCGGGGGCACGTGACCACCGATCCTGGGTTGCGATTGGCCGCAGCCCGGGTTGCCAGGGCGACGGGGAAGCGTCCCCGAGAAACCCAGGGACTGAAAGGAGCCAATGAGCTGGAAGCTGCAGGCGGGCGTCTCAGAACTGGAGTAGCTGAAATTTCCCGGCCGCGCTTTCCCAACGCTATTGCTCGCTGCGGCACAATTTTTTTTTTTTTTTTTTGAGTCGGAGTCTCACGCTGTGATGAGGGCTGGAGGAAGTAGTGGGGTCAGAAGTTTGAAGAAAGTGAAGGCAGGAAGGAAGGGAAACCGGTATTTCCATCGCATTGAGATCCAATAAAAAAGACATTACTTTTAAAATCAGAGAAGCAATCTTGTTTTAAAAAATGGAGTCACTGTAATCATTATTTTATGGTTCATGGCAAAACATATGTACTTACTTTCACCGCAATCTCAAACACTAAAAGTTATTTAGATTCCATTCCAAACTAAAAAGAGCTTCAGGCAACCTCTTTAATAAGTTAGCCTTTCCTTATTGAAAAGCAACTTACTGGAAGTAAAAAAAAAATTTTTTAAAGACATTTTGAGTTATAGCAAACAACACATTTTCTTTCTAAAAATGTTCTCTCCATTTTTTTCCTATAAGCATCTAATAATGTCACACCCTGCTTCGTAAACCTTCAGTGGCACCTCCTTAAATAGAGAATAAAGTCCAAACTGTGTAGCCTCTTTAAATTTGTTTTCTGGCCGGCTGCAGTGGCTCACACCTGTAATCCCAGTGTTTTGGGGGGCCAAGGCAGGGGGATTACTTGAGTCCAGGAGTTCGAGACAAGCCTGGGCAACATAGTGAGACCCTGTCTCTACAAAAACAAACAAACAAAATTAGCCAGTTGTGGTAGTGTGCAAGTGTAGTCCCAGCTACTCAGGAGGATGTGGCAGAAGGATCGCCTGAGCTCAGGAGGTCGAGGCTGCCATGAGCCATGGTCATACCACTGCACTCAGGTCTGGGTGACAGAGCGAAACTCTGCCTCAAAAAATAATAATAATAAAATAAAATTTGTTTTCCAATTCTACACACAATTGAGCACCAACTAGGAGTTAGATACTTTATTCTGCGGTATCTTTTTTTTTTTAAGTGAGAAAGCAGGATTTATTGAGGGGACAGAAAAACTCCCACAGTGGGAGGGGACCCGAAGAGGTTGCCATATTCTGCTATATCTTAATCAAATTGACCAACTTGCCTCATCCACAGAACAGATTTTGAAGGCCTGCTCTACGTCGCCAGGAATGGACTCGCCGGGGCCAGGCCTCAAAACTCTAGTTTAAACAAGTGCCTTCAGTGCATGTGATCTGGCCAGCTTGGGCAGCTTACCTAAGCTTTCCCTGGGTTTTGTGCTTCAAACCCAGAGGTCTCCTGTCCAATTCCCGAATAGGCTGAAACCTACTCCCACCTCCTGAATTTGAGCCTAGCAGAGAGACCTCTCCCTGCTCCAGAAGCAATCAACCATGTGGCCTTGAGCAAATCAGCCCTGCAAGCTTCACTTTCCTTACCTGTCAATTTGGGGAGTGCTACCTGCCTCACAGGGCTGTTTGGAATCCAGTGAGTTAATGCATGTAAAATACCTAGCACAGAAAGTGTCTGTAAAATGTAGCTATTTTATCTATTTATTTTACTCACACAGTTCTCTTCCTGCAGAGTGATACTTGCCCAAAACTCACTCACTCAACTTCAAATAGTGCCTTTTCCAAAAGCCTTCCCAGATCCCCTCCACTCAGTAAGAATCTCTTTTTCTACCTTCTCAATATATCCTATCACGTTCTGTTATAACTCCTATCAGTCTATCTTATGTCTAAATTATTTAGGAATGCATCTGTCTTTGCCACCAAATGACAATCTCTTGGTGATCAAGACTGGGTCTTTCTTGCTTCACTCCTTCATCTTTCACAGGGTGAAAAAGTGCCGCATAGAAATATATCTTCTGAGATGTCCCTTCCACTAGATAAGTCCCTGAGTTATGTCAACTGTCTTGGCTAATATACTTCCATGTGTTAGTTTAATGGACAAAGACCACAAGAAAAGTTACTGCCCTGCCTGATCTTTCACAAAGTAAGAAATAATAGCAATTATTTCTTACTCCCTCTTTTAATTTTCAGGTTGTGGTATCAGTTAGTCATATTTCTAACTTTGTATATCATATTTCTACTAAGCTTTCTCATATTTGGCAGCCTTAGATATACTGGCAAGGATAAAGAAAGGAAAATAGCAGGATGTCATTTTAGCAAGAATACTCAGCTTCATAATTAGCAATTGCTAGAAGACCTCAAAGATTTAGACTGAGTTACATCCTCATTTTCTATTTTCCACTACACAAATGGCCAGCCCACTTCTGAAGCCCAGATCTGTGGCGTTTAAGACATACAGGACACGAGGTCCTTATTTCCACAGATTACCATCTCAATTAGGCAAACAATACAATTCTGACATAAAATCCACCAGATAAGAGCCTAATGAAATATTTAATAACTTTAGCAGGTTCAGGAGTGCTTTCCACACTAGTAACAGAAGCTAGCAATAGGAAGTAAATGAAAACAGGGCCACTGGAGGTCACATTCATCAAAAAATCTTAAACCGCAAGGGAAAAATTCATATAACAGCATTTTGTTAGGAACTAATTAATACTGCATTAATTGTGAACACGGAAATAATACAAACTGTGGTAGTAATGACTACCACAATTATTTTTAAAATCATGAAAGCATGACATGGTAGAAAAGAGAAACAACATTTAAAAACTGAGAACTTATAACATGAAAACTTTCAAATTTAAGATAGAATTATAATATGTAAAAATAGCATTTCAGAAATCCTAAATTTATAGACTTGCTAGATGTATTTAAAATAAGATTCTAATTTTCCTTGATGAAAATGGAATTACCGGTTAAAATGTACGGAATTTGGTTGTGGTAAAGTCAGGCATGCTACATTTGACCAGTGATGGAGCGCAGGCAGGGCAGAATCTGGAAGTAAGCATGAGAGCAACAAAAGCAAGCATGAGGGCGCAAAATTCAAGCCCAAAGCTAGGTTCACTTACTCCTACTCATCTTCGTTCACAAACTACAACAAGCCTGGCAAACTGTTCTACCACCCTAAATCAACAGTGGCCAAGCAGAAGGAAAGGAGACCCTCTAAAGAAGAATTCAGTAGCCCTAGAGATTGTTGACAGGTGACAATCTGCTGATGAAGAGGAATGCAGAAAACAAAAGGCAGATACAAGAATTAGAAAATAAAACAAAACAAAAAGCTTATAAATGAGTGCCAAATGTCCTAGGTAGCACTTAAAAACCAAAAAATCTAGCCGTGGTGGTGCACTGTAATCCTAGCAATTTGAGAGGCTGAAGCGAAAGGATTGATTGATCCTAGGAGCTCAAGACCAGCCTGGGCAACATAGCAAGACCTAGTACCTACAAAAAAAAATTTAAAAATTAGCTAGACATGGTGGTGCACACCTGTAGTCCCAGTTATTCGGGAGGCTGAGATAGAAGGATTACCGAAGCCCAGTAGGTCAAGGCTTCAGAAAGCCATGAATGTGCCACTGCACTCCAGCCTGGGCAACATAGTGAGACCTCGTCTTTACAAAAAGATAAAAATAATAGCCAAATGTGGTGGCATGTGCCTGTAGTAGCAGCTACTCAGGAGGCTGAGGCAGGAGGATTGCCTGAGCCCAGCAGGTCGAGGCTGCAGTGAGCCACAAACATGCCATTACACCCTAGCCTGGGTGACAGAGTGAGACCCCTACTCAAAAAAAAAAAAAAAAAAAAAAAAAATCCCAGTATTGTTGAACCCTGAAGTAATTTGGTACAAACTGTAAAATGCTTGCTAATCTATAAGTGTAATGCATTCCCCAGTGAGAGTATCCACAGTCACATCTTGATGGTGGCTCTAGCAACAAAGTGAACATAACAAAATCAGTCTTCTTATCCGAAGGCAGCAGTAATAGCCCCTGCTACATCGGGCTGCTGAAAATCAAAGGTGATAGATAATCCTTGAACTCAAATGCCTGACACCCTAAGAAATAGAGCAGCATGCAGATACACTCTATTTTCAAAACGGTTTTGATTCCATTATTTCTTTTAGTTTTTATTTTTACAGCTTAGAAAGATATACTCTTTTAATAACAGGACTATTACTTAATTGGGCACACTTTTCCCCCGAGAATTCTGGATATTTGAATTCTGGACGTTGTGAATCTGCGTATTTTCGCTGCTGGCAAGAGTATGAAATTTGGGTCAATAACCATTGTTCAGAGACCGGCCTCTTGCCCACTCTCCCTGATGGCTTAGGTGGAAAAAAAGCAGCACTCCACCCCAAGCCAGCACCATTCAAGAGTCCGTGGGCAAAGTTACTTAGCTGAATCTTCCCAGAGGCTTTAGGAATAGCTGCCCTTCTGCATTTGATTTTAGTTTTTTGGGTTTTTGTTTGTTGTTGTTGTTGTTGTTTTAGGACAGTTGTTAACATAGTCCCTTATACCTGACAGGACTTTTGGTTCCAGAAGCATTTTCATGTCATCCGAAATTCACACCACCACCCTGGAGGTGGGTATTACCCCTTTATGTTACAGGAAACAAACAGGGGGAAATAGAGACAAGTTAAAAACCTTGCCAAATCACACAACTGGTATGCAACAGAAGAAATAGGACTCCTAGGGAATGATTAATTTGTAATAGCCTTGTGCATAAGTTAAAAAAAATTTGCATGTTTCTGCACTCCAGTCTGGGCAACGGATCAAGACCCTGTCTCAAAAATAAAATTTTCAAAAAGTAATGAACATTAGTATGACAATTTGATGACTTCTTATAATTAAGATGACACAAAAATATGTTCGCTTAAGTAAAAGTAACTGAGATATGCAACCAAAGCTCTTCCCT